TGGTAACTTGAACAATTTGACCAACCTGTTGCCTGGTAACTTGAATAATTTGACCAACCTGTTGCCTGGTAACTTGAACAATTTACCCAAGCTGTTGCTTGGTAACTTGAATAATTTGACCAACCTGTTGCCTGGTAACTTGAACAATTTGACCAACTTGATGCATGGTAACTTGAACAATTTAACCAACCTGTTACCTGGTAACTTAAACAGTTTGACCAAACTGTTTAGAAACTTGAATAATTAACAAATCTGTCTTCTAGCAACTTGAATGTTTCAACCAACTTGTTGCCAGGTAACTTTAACAAGTCAACTAACTTGTTACCTAGTTAATTGAATGATTAACAAACCTGTAATCTGGCAACTTAAAAATACCTCTTATGGTTATCTCCATACTGCCATTAAGAGAAAAATCCTTAAAATATGCTAACACTTTATGGCTTTATTTTTGCCAACTCTTCGGAATATTCATAACAACTAAACACTGGACTTACAATTCCAAAATCTTATTAAAGTTTTGAATAAATAACTTAAGACATTTCTTATCTGTATCTGAGCACAAATAAAGAAATGACTAAACAAGTTCATCTTTCCCATTTCCTCCTAAAAGACTACAATTCCACTCGATTTTAACTGGACTTCCATAACTCATAATGAAGGTGTGTAGCATTATTAGAGGACTTAAGTTCCAAACCTGGGATTCATATCACAGACATTTAAACCACTAATTATACTTGATCCTTCCTCTACACCCCTATCACAATTGGGTTAATATGGGAATAAAACAAACATAAAGCTTTCAGGAACATAAAAAAATGGACCAATGTAATAGATGATATTGTTGTTTATGAAAATAAAATGAGATTGAAAGGCTAAAAGTAACTATAAGGGTATTATACTGTAGATCAAAACATCAAGTTATACTTAGTCATTATGGTTAATAAAAGGTATACATACTTAAAGTTTTATTTTTTTTACATTATTATGGAAGAAGAAAATTTGATTTCTGAGTGCATTCAATATGTGTGTAGGTGGAATGTAAATAACATCAATTATCTCATGACGTGAAGTTTTGGAAGAATCATGGAACCTTCAAAAGTGTAAAGCTTCTGGGATCTATCCTAAAACTTTTTAGTTTAAATAACGAGATGGCAGAATTTTAATTAACTTATATCTTTAAAGTTACTGAACATAATTAAAATCCCTGATGATAATGATATTGGAAAATTACAGGTCCATAAACTTGACTTCTGTTTTTAAAAAAAGGTGTTGTAACCATTGTTGCAGATCAATAAAAACGTTGTGAATGTTAACATTTGATAAATAATTCATAACATCTTTTTCCAAATAGATTAGGGCAACTAAGTTTATAATGTGTAAATCCATTAATTTTTTTCAAAATGCCTTTCATTAAATATCACAAAATGATATCTAGAAAGTTTTGAAAGGAAGTTATAAATATTAAAGAATTAATATAAAGTCTTCATACTACAGTAAGAAACATAGTCTGGTTACAGTTATATACCAGAGGAGTTTAAATTTTAAAACTGACCAAAATATAACTTAAGCTCTCCTCCCTTCAACCATGGACCCCTATAAGTATAACATGTATCAGTACAGTTTATAAATAAGAAAACTTAAGTAATGTATAATTAATTTTTAAGTAAACTTGTAACTGTTGAGATTAATATAAATAATTACCATTGTTATTAATTATATAAATTGTCCGCACAATGGTACACAATACTTAATCTCACTGACATTTAAAATTTTGTTTCGCTTCCGTTTCAACTATGAATATAAATTACTATAACATTTTTCATGAGGAGAAGTGGAATGAGACTAGTGAACAGGTGGTCACTATAACCAGTATAAGTAATTATAAACTATTATGAGTATCACTATCACATGCAAATTATTACAACCTGGAAAAAATTCTAACGACAAAATTTTGTTGAAAACTATCGAGAATTGTATAACTTTAATTACCATTTTTCAATTCATGCGTCACCGTTTGAAGTTCAATCCAGTTTCTGCAAGATGTTATAGATGATGCCATAGACTTCTGTTAAATATATACATTCAGCTGCATTACTTGGAATTATTTTGATTAAAATATAATTCGAAGAAACTTTCTACTGAGAACTAAATAGTATATCACGGATACAGACTAGTTGATTTGCACCAATACTGGCAATGTCTTGCAACACCTGTCTAGTCGTATTTGCCTATTTCGCCATCTAGTAGTTAATAGCCAAACATATCATATAAAAACTTGTATTAATTATAAAAATTTAAACAACCCCCCAAAAATACAAGAAATAAAAATATCCAGATTTTCAGCATACTAGTAGCACATTATTAAATACATTTTTCTATTATTCGATACTGTTATATGTCATAAAAAACACAGGTTGTAACATCATAATCTCAGAAAAAAAAGATGATATAATACGTGAAGCCAGGCTGATGCGTTTACGTTTTAAAACTTGAAATTAAATAACTGGTATTCAAATTCATCTTTTTATTTGAAAAGTTAAAGTACTCTGTATACTACAGTATATATATATATATATATATATATATATTCAAGTATATCTATAGAGCTATATCATTCTTTGTAAATTATCATCTTTTTTCTAAAGGAACAAATTCAGGTACTTTAGAATTTTAAATCATGTTGGATGTTAAGAGATAAAGTGTCATTGCTTAAGATCCTAAATTTAGTACAGTCGTCAAGAAGAGATTGCGTGTCACCCAGTGGCACAACGGTATGTCTGCGGAATTACAACGTAGAAAGCGGGTTTCGATACCCGTAGTGGGCAAAGCACAGATAGCTCATTGTGTATCTTTGTGCTTTATTACAAACAACCAAATAGACTGCATATTTATGTTACACACCCCGATAAAGGTAATGTAATTGTTGTTCTTAACAAAAAAAATACTATCTGAGTAAAATGCAGGTTATTTTTTGACGACTCTACTAAATTTAAAATTTTAAACAAGGAACAACATCGCATTAATTATCCATAAGAAATAATACCGCCTCCAGCACTGTAGATAAAAATATGTGTAAATATTTCTTTGTGTGTGTGCGTGGGTTAATGACATATCTAAAAAATATACCATGAACTTTATATGTTCATTACATAAGCTTCTTCAAGCTGGTAATTATTTGAGTCAGATAACCCTAACGTAAAATTCGTCCCCATAGATCTATTGCTTTACAAAATATTTTGTCAGTCACAGACCTGCTTGCTTGTTTCAGAATTTTCGCGGAAAACCACACAAAGGGCTGTCTGCCCATATCCAACCATAATTTTGAAGTGATAGACAAGAGGGAAGGCAGCTAGTAAACACCAACCACCGACAACCCGTAGGCTACTTTAATCAATTGGTGGGGTTTGAACATTTCTCCTGTAGCACACCCGCAGCTCCAAAGTACTGAAGGCGTTTTCACAGCAATTGGTTGCGATCATGATCATTTGGATTTGCTAAGCACAGAATGAGAAGTGAGAGTTGAAGGTATTTTAAATGTTTTATTATAAATCGTGCATTATTCTGAGTATCCATAAAGTGCTATAGTGACTGTGCTAACGATTTGATTTCCAAATAATTATCAATATGTTTTACGGCAGAAGAAACATAATAAATATTGTCCTGATTTATGATTCTGTCAATAAAACAATTACTGAAGATATATATTAACGAGCTTACACTGTTACAGTGCCATCTTCTGTTCTTTCGATGAACACTGGTGAAAAGCTTGTGAATGAGTGTCTCCCACTGTAGTGCAGTTGCTTATTAACAAAGACACCACATAGGGCCATAATAGGGGAGAAGTTTTTGTTTTCTTATATCTATGTCAAATATATTTTTCTTAACTTTACTAGTGACACCTATATCTAACACAAATATATTTGTTTGTGCGTAATATTCCCCTGTCCTGGTGGTTCAGAAGTAAGTTTACAGACTTGCAATGCTAAAATCCAGTGGTCGATTCCTCGTGGTGGACAAAGTGCAGATAGTCCAGCGACTAGTTTGGCGCTAAAACAACAACGTGTTTGTAAGACAAGTTATGTATATAATCAAAAGATGAAGCTTTTCAACTGAATATTAAACAAATAAATTTTATTAAAAATTACAATAACTAACAAAAAAGTGGTCATTCATGAGCATTTTCTACTCACACGTTCAGAAAACTGTTGTTGACGCCCTACGAAAGCAAAATTGATTTATAAATCGATGAACTTTGACGTTATTTTTAAATAGATGTTACCAAGGTTTTTTTTCAGATATTCAACCAAGTTCTTCAACTGCAATATTCTAACATAAAGGACATTTCCCACCAACGGCCAAGATTGTTGGGTATCAAATATTCTAAGAAATGTATCTTTGTATTTAACCTTAGCAATGCGTTGTACCCACCTTTGAGATTGAACCCATAATTAACCTTACCGATGAGCCACGGGGTTGGAGTCTATACTTGTTTATTGCATTTATGGAAAGACAACTAAGTCTATCTGCCTCCGTCCTTTGTTTTGAACTATTAAATTACTGTCCACTACCAACCTCTCACCATTCACGATAAAGGACTGATTGACACTTATAAGTAGAGCCAATTAAAGGGAGTGGCAGGAGGGCCATTTGACCCGAACCTCAAGCTCAATAGGATCTCAAACTTAAACACTTGCTATTTTTTTGCGCTTGTTAAGTTTCGCGAGTTGTTAAATGATGTTAATTAATATACGTTGAATAAGAAATATTCAAATTATGCTTCACTTTTCTTTTGGGGCTAATGTTTGTCTTATTTTGTTTTCATGTGTCATAATTTTTTTTTATTATAACCAGGGGCCTCAAATGACAAAAGTAGCTCGAGCCTCTGAGATGGTCTGCTTATTACACACCCACAGCTTAAAGTGTGGGAGAGGAGGAGATATTTTGTGATACCACACGGATTAAAAAATCCAACAATACAGTAGTACGTAATGTTAGACATATATGTCGTGTGCCATGACGTACGTTGTTACAAAATAGCACTGTTAATATCAGCGTATTCGTGGTTCAATGATTATCTTAGCACTTGTTTATATTCTTGACATCCAAATCTAATATATATATATATATTGTTGCGACAGCGGAAGTCACGTGACTCTAGTAACACGTCATTGACTTCTAGAAGGATCCTGTCCCTTCCTGAATGCTCTAGCGTTTACTAGATATGCGGTAGTCTTGTATATATAAGACGGCCAAGACGTGACGGCAACAATGGGTAATTGAACTGCGGACCGAGAGAGAGACGTATTGTTGAGCACGTGAGACGTTCGTTGTGAATTATAGCGTTTGTTATAGTGCGACTGTGGAAATTAAGTGTATCGCAAAGTTGTATTCAGAAAGAATAAACCAGTTTTATTTAAGAAAGGACGTGTATCGGTAAAGTTTCTTCGGAAAGAATTTTTACGGAAAATTAACTAACGACCAGAGACGTAACAAATTGGTGTCAGAGAGTGGGACAAACAAAATGGAAACGAGAAGCGGCAAATCAAACTACAGCTTAGCAGACTTGATGGCAGCAATACAAGAGCAGCAAAAGAAACAAGAAGAACGAGAAAATAAACAAGAAGAGAGATTACAGCGGTTGTTGGAGGAAAAAGAAAAGAAACAAGAAGAGAGATTACAACAGCTATTGGAGGAGAAAGAACATAAACAAGAAGAGAGACTACAGCAGTGGCAACTGGAACAAGAAAGGAAACAGGAAGAAAGTCAGCAGCAACTACAGGAAAGTCAACAACAGTGGCAAGAAGTACAAATGGAAAACATTAGTAAATTTAAAAACGAATTAGATACATTAAAGAAGACCAGTAGTGATTGGTGTTGAGGGACATTCGCCA